AGGAAGCGCTTATTCATTTGTCAGCGGCATTTCAATGTAAGTGAATATAATTGATTTAAATGCGAGTGCAAATAAATGTATTTTCTATGCATTTATTTACCATTTCAGCCTTCTGACTACAAAATAGTACCAGTAAAATCACCTAAGTTCAATGTGCGGTACCAGTTGGACAAAAATATTGTTCCTCATAAGAATCTTCCGTTTGTACAAGGTAAAAAATGTAATTAAATAACGTATTGTTAGTTTTCAAAGATTTTCTGTTTCAGATGCTGAAAGGTACAGCTTTTTGATTCCAAAATCAGACCCATTGGCTCGTCCTTTGGAAATCAAGCACAGCGACTCTCATCGAGTGAACATTGAACCCGAGAAAAGCAAGCAGTGTTCTCCAAAGAAATTTATCCAAACCGTGGATCAAAATACTCCGACTGGTTCTTTCAGCACTCCTGCATCAGAAAGTTCAGGTACTTAGCTACTAGGGCATTGTATAAGTTTATGAGCACCAGTTGGCAGAGGAAAGATTCCCTTACTTGATCGTGGTGTTAGTTTGCATGGGTGAGCTAGTAGTTAAGACAAATCGTCGATTGAAGTGATTGTTTGCAAAATCAAATACGTCGATTTGAAAAGTGACGCTTGTCTAATAATTTATTGCTGACATACTACGATCAATCCAATAGTTCGATGGTTACTACACCAACATCAATATATCATATAGTTAGTTACTAGGGCATTACGGGACATTGATTGGTTTTGATCGGAGCAGGTAAACAGGTGATTGAACTTGTTGATTAAAAATGCATATAATAGCTAGCTATTTCTTGTCTTTTTTTTGTTTCTTAATTTGAAAGGTTTTCAGCCTAAAGGCTGGTTTGTCTCTGATAGTTTTACTTGTTAGCAAGGAATAGTAATTCATCATTCTGGTTCTAAAATTTCCAAGCAATAACACATTTTTATATTTCCATACACTTTCAGACATTATATCATCAGCAGGCAGCGAGTACTTTCCCAGCAATCGGAGCGAGAGAGAGTTTGCACATGAACAATGCCTAACGGAGGATAAATTAAAGAATTTAAATTTTGTGTACAATTTAATGAAAGATAAAAGTATGCAATATTTAGGAATCCCATCAAATGGAACCCATATATTGCAATCTTTACAAGAAACCACTAATGTTAGTGAGAGGGATATAATGATTGTACTAAGGAAAATAAGATTAAATGAAACATTTGAATTGTTATCGGACTGTTTTGGTCTATCTCGTTCGCGAATTTCACAAATATTCGATGAAAATGTGTCAAAAATAGCTGGAGAATTTAAAGAGCTGATTTTTTGGCCTGATGCAAAAGCAATTAAAAAATTCTTGCCAGTCGCATTCCTGACAGAATATAGTGCAGTTCAAAGTATAATTGACTGTTTTGAAACACAAATTCAGAAACCTACCGACCCAGTTGTGCAGTCAATTACATATTCACAGTATAAATCGTGTAATACAATAAAGTACTTGGTATCATGTACCCCATGTGGTCACATCAACTTTATATCAAAAGGATTTCCAGGACGTGCGAGTGACCAAAAAATTGTTCGGAATTCTGGATTTTTGAATAATATTCATCAAAATGTAGGAGTTTTGGCCGATCGCGGCTTCAAAAATATTGCTGTAGAAGTTGCTCAAAAGGGTGGATTTTTGATACGTCCACCAAGTGTTACAAAAGATGAAGCCTTATCCAAAGAGGATGCTTTGAAAGCAAAAGAGATAGCTTGTGTCAGGATACACGTGGAACGGCTTATTCGAAGGTTCAGGGAGTTCAGGATGTGCGCACCTCATGCGGAACTGCCGTCATACTTTTTACACAACCTAGATTTTATCGTTATAATTGTAGCTGGATTAGTGAACTTGCAAGGGTCACTTATTAAGTAAGTTCAATGTACGTAAAATCTTAAAGCAATTGTTGGTTAATGTAGAACAAATAAATAAAAATGTTGTTAAGTTTTTAATTTGGTTTTGATTGTCCGCTTCCTACAAGAAACAACACAACTACTTCCAAACCATGGCCCAGAAGGAGGAAGGAAGATAGCTAGGTAGGAACAGACAAAAAGACAAAGAGAGAAGCTTTCTGGAAGAACCTAAATATTTAGGTTAAACATGGGGGTCAAATAAATGTCCCAGGCTGAACACTGAGTGGTTAAAACAAATGGAACAAACGATTATCTTCAGCTTTTTTATCTCATTCAGTCTGAAGCTGACCAAATCACTCATATCAATACCAACCCCTCCTTCCCTTCCCCCAGTAGCCATTAGAGTAAGCCAAAGTCCGGTCGGTTAAGGGTTAGATAATTTATTTGGGATACATGTTAGAATGCTTTAATCTAACTGACAACAAATTAAAACTGAATCACTTAGGTTTTCAAAAAGATGTAAACAGTTTGTTAAAAATATTAGTCTTCCAAAACTTGTAGCTGTCTGTCATTTTCTGTTGTATATAATCGACATCTAGATTTATTTCATAGAACTCTACAAATTTGAGAGGGTTTCGACTTTTTTCAAATTCCGGTAGAACTAATACTAAAACACCTTTTTTGCGGTTTGACATAATCATCTGAAGATGGATTTGAGATTTTACTTTCTCTTGTAAATTTCCGTTCACATTTAACATTATCGCTTTTCGATGGACACTTGATTTCAAAAACTGTTGAACTGTTGATCGCATCTGGGGATGCACCAAATACGGGATAATCAGGACTCAGAAATAGTCCGCATCTGCGAACGTTTTGATATCGCATCCTAATTGCTTTTACTGCTTTGTCCTCTAATCGTAACCCTCGTTTCATCGCCTCACTAGTAAAACTTGTTTGTCCTAGCACGGACCTTACGAGAGAACCATCGCCAGTTTTACACCTCGACAGCTCAAAAATTTTTGAAGCTGTTATTCGCCCATATTTTAGCAGCTTCCACTGGGAACAATCTTGCCCTGTAGTGATAGTTTCAATTTTTTTACATACACTATCCATCATCGTACGTTTGCAGAACTGAATAAAACGTTTCGAGCTCTGTTTTGCTTCGGAACTTTCTTTGAAGTCTATCAAAAGACAATGCAAAGCATATCCTTCTACCTTCGGAAACGCTTGATGATACTTCAATGCACTAATAGTAGCACTTGACGGACATTTGCTAAGCAATGTTTGAAGAAACCTTCCACTTCCATTAATTACTTCATTCGAATTGGAAACTCCGGAATCACGATGCTTGGCAAGATCAAACTTGTCTATGTTTTCTTCTACTTTCGACAGATTCGGCACTTTCCAGAGACATATTGAATCAGTAGGAGAAGGCTGGCTGTATTTTTCATACAGATAGAATAAAAACGCTACGGCATGTTTACAACCCCCTGCGGCTGCCTTACACCCCTGTGCGTCACTTTCACAAAAGATATCAACAACTTTTTCATCGGCTGTATTTATTATCGCAACCACGGAATACTGCCTAGCAGTAATCTTGTGCTCCGGCACAATTTTCGCTTTTACCGTGCATAGATTCCCGTCAATTTTTAACTGAACCCGTCCAATAGAAGACTTCAAATAATCGGGGTTGGATGACCTGAAAACAAACCAATAAATTTGCTGAACGAGATGATATGAAACTCGGCTTACCTTTCGATTTTTCCTCGTTTATTAGCGTCACGGAATTTTTCATTAGTGGTCAGAAAATATTGCACCATGAAGAAATCCACCTTCGGGAGCGTGTTTGCATCCGCTTTGGAAAATCCTGGCTCCATTTTTAGGATTAAACACTGATTAAAACTCTTGAAACTTTTATATCAAAAAAGAATGAAGATGAAGACAGCTGATGTTGTTGTTACGAGCTTGGCGAAAAAAATTTACATTTGACGTCTCGTATGTGGTAAAGTGGTGTCCCTACTGAAATTTTGATCTGCTATCTAACGTGTATTGTGCCCTGTTTTACACCGTAAGTCGCAAGCGTCATGATATAAAAGCTAATGTCATTTAATGAACGTTTTAAAAAAAGGTTTTTGCGATTTCTTAGCTGTAGCTTATTTAAATGTAAAAAATAAAGTATTAACGTGTTTCTAAGAGTCTTCCACATAGTTAAACGTGTTAAAAGCTGAAATTGTTGATGCATTAAACAACCCAATTGGAGTCGGATCCTTGCGATAAATGCAAGAATGACAACTGTAAAAAAATCGAATAGGGGAAATGTTGGCTTCGGCAATATCTTAACCTATTATCGTCAGGGGGTAAACAAAATCTTAGAGCACTCAAATTTGGCCAATAGATGCTCTCAAACACAATGTATCCGCATACAAAAATTGAGCTCCTAAGGACGTTGTTTACCCCCCTGACGATAATAGGTTAAGATATTGCCGATGTTAACATTTCCCCTACTTCATCATTTCTCAATAGTGATGGACTAATACGACATGCACTAAAATAAGGGCATGGGATATACTACAATAGATCAAATTACTGGTCGCACTGGTGTTAGGTCCCGAAGAGAAGAAAAGAAAAATAACTTCTTAGGCTGTGAACCATTTGCCGAGTCAAATTTAACTCGTGGTTAAAAGTGACATTTCGAAAGTTATTTTCTATGTTCGAAAATCCCCGTGCTGTCGATCGACCGGTTTTCGAGCCACAGTTGTCAAAATTTAACTTCTTGTCTGTCAGAAGTAACCACGCTTGGATAGCAGGGTTAATCGATAACTTTCCATCTGTCAAATTTTAACCAAAAGTTAAAATAATTCGCCAAATGGTTCAGAGCCTTAGTCCAAACGTTTGCCTTCCAGAAAGGCAAAAATATAAAATTAATTAAAATAGTAAATACCGATCAACAATGGGGCAACGCTGGCCCCAACAGTTGCTTTCTCAGTTCATGCATGTTGACGTTCCACTGCAATCGGCATTAGTTTCCTTTTCTAAATATTTGAAACATGCATTCAGCTTTATTTCAATATGACAATTATCTTAAAATTAAGCTATATTTGCAAACCACTCCAGCGGCCTACCATTTTTCCCTGCTCTGATTATTCACAACCAGCCTCGACACGCTCCTCTACCTCCGATTTCAGCTCCACGCTCAAGATCACCTCGCTTTCGTCAGGGGTCTTCCTGCGGCAGCTTCCGTGTACGCCACTCTCCTGTCGCTTACGATGCATGGACAAAGCGTATCTTGATTGAAAAATGTGCTCGCACTCGTCGCAGCGGAAGCTTTTGGCATCCTTCTCCGTGTGTTTTACCAGCACATGCCGCTTCAGGCCATCCTTCTGGCGGAACGCGTAAGAACAGTGCGGACAAACGAACGGCTTCTCGTTGGTGTGCCGCCGCATGTGGAACGTAAGAGTTTTTTGCTGAGTGAATCCCTGACCACATATTGTACACACGTACGGCCGAAGGTTTTGGTGGATAAGCAAGTGCTGCTTGAGCGATCCGCTCTGGGTAAAACCCTGGAAAAAAAACATTCGTTAACAGACGTGATCAATAAAACAGAGGTTCGATCAAACCTTTTGACACAAAGGGCACGCGAATGGCTTGTTGCCATTATGAGTCTGTAGATGGCGGTTCAGATTCGTCTTGGTGGAAAACGATTTCACGCATTCGACGCATTCAAATTTGCTACGTGGTCTTTCTGATGGAGAGGACTTAGTCGTAGACATGGACGAGTCCAATCTAGTCAAGGTAGCATACTTTGGCTGCCGATAGGAATGATCCACTTCGCTTACATCCGAGAAGTCATCCCGCTTCACAGAGATTTCGTCATCTTCCGGAATTTGTGCGTCCTCCTCTTCCTCATGGTATTCAGTTGTGAAGCCTATGTAGATTACTTGCTCCTGTTCTTCCCCGACTTCCGACTCATCCATCAATTGATTCTGCTGGTCCGATTCGTGCTCTTCAACTTCCATTCCTTCCTGCTGGAGAAGGTTTTCCTCGTAGTCCTCCACTTCAACCATCTCAAACACATTCTTTTCCGCCTTAACGACCGGCTTTTCCTGTATTACCGCCACTGCCCGAAATTTCTCTTGCTCTTGTTCCGGTTCCGATTCCGGTTCCGGCTCCGACCCTGGCTCGGAAGCCGTCGAAAGCTCCGCCTCTTCGGGCTCCCGTTCTATTTGAGCAGATTCCTCCTGTGCCTGCCTCTGCTCAATCGTATCGTTGCCATGTCCCAAAACGCTATTCTTAGGAGTAAATGTCTCATCCTCATTTGGTGTTTCCTTTTCCTGTCTTTCGGCTCTCTCCTCATCGTCGGAATCTTCGTCATTTCCTGACCCCTCCAGGGCCATGAACTGGTTGTTTACATTGGCGATGAAGCTTTTCAGCTGCCGGTCAGAGAATTCACTCTTCTTTTTGAATTCGACAGCGATTCCCATTCGATCCAGACACTGATCGCATATCTTGTCCGGAAGTCCATCATTTTCCGTCACCTGTAGAAAAAAAAAAAAGCGATCGGTGAATTTCAAACTGCGCGCCACCCGAGCACATGGTAATCTAGGCCACTTCAGGCTAGCCGGCCACACACCGAAGGGCGCGCAAGCTGAAACAGAAGCCAAGCTACTACCGCGCGTATGTAAACAAACTACAATTCCAAAATATGTTTACCTTAATCGAAGTGCAGTAGAGGAACTTTTTGGCGTACTTGTAGATCGAATGGGTTGCTTCCGACTTGCAGCAAACCCGGCACAGGCTGATGTCGATTTTAAGACTCATCTCCGGAACGTTGAATTTTAAATAATTCAGGTGAATTAATATGAATTTTTACCAGCGCTAATCTAGCGACCATAGACGGACATCTTGTACTGCGTTTCTGGGGCTGCTCATGTTTATTATGATTCTGGAACGGTTTTTAACTTTGACAACCAAAATTCAAGCCAAACAATGGATTCGGTCGTAAGTAGCATTAACCGATTCTCTCCATCGATTTTCTCTTTCGTTAATAACTTCGCTACAAAACCGTTCCTTAACATGTTTGTCATATAAGAAGCTAGATAAAAGTTTGTTTCGTCGAACAGTATGTTGAAAACAGCTGAAAATGTTTTACATGGTCGTAGGGATGCACAGATAAAATCGACGAAGAGAATGTGACAATGTTACTCAGGACCTAATTCATTGCTCGGCTTGCATTTGTGGCGTGCAAGTTTGCGTACAAGTGCATGACTTAGGTACCAGATTTAGCTAGTAAATCAACCTATTTTGTTCGATACACGTCAAGCTAAGGCCGTTCGCAATGCTGAGTTTCAAAATTGTTTTAAACTACTCGTCAATTCTATAATTTGAAACTGTCAAAAATAAAACTGCAACACGATCAGCGCAACGCACAGTTCTAAAACATGTTTGTAATCATAAAGTTCCATAAACTTTACTGTTCTCTATGAAGTTCTCCGTTTTTTATTTGTGGAGCTCTTCGAAACATCTTAAACACATCCAAAGAAATTTGAAACAGAGTTCCATTCGTGTTTCAAACTCGCTCAGAAATAAAACAGAATAGTCGAGCAGTTGCAAATCTGGTGCAAAATAGTGCTCGAATAATGAAACTGCAACTCAGCATTGCGAGAGGTGCGTTTCTGTTCTAGTTTCAAATTGAAACAGTCCTTATAAAATACAACAGCATTGCGAACGGCCTAAACATTGCATTAGGTCCTAAGTAACATTGATCGATTCTCTTCGTCGACTTTCTCTTTCGTTAATAACTTGAGCACATAACCGTTTCTTGTTGTGTTGGTCGTATTGGATGCTAGATAAAAGCTTCTTTTATCGATCTGTGTGTTGAAAATACCTGGGAACGTCTTTACATGACCGTAGGAATACAAAGAGAAAGTCTACGAAGAGAATTTGTCAATGTTACTTAGAACCTAATTTAATGTTCAGCTTGATGTACACATATTCGGCGTACACAACAGTGAGCGTTCATAAGGGCATATTTGCAAAAAGGTAATTCTAAGACCAGAAGGTCCCGCAGATACGTGCTCAACTTTTTGGCTCAGCTCTGGTACTATCTTCGGTCCCAAGCTAATCGATTCACCCCTCAAAACATAAGAAAATCCACGAACCCCTCATTTTATCTGTCAAACTTTCATAGCAAATCAAAACAAACATTGTGTAGTACTAGAATTTCGACTAGAATGGAGTACCCTTATAGATTTAATTGGGACCAATAGGCTAGTCAAGTAGGAAGCCAATTTAAATCCGTTAGTTTCCAACCGGTGCTATTTGCAATTATCGATTCTCTTCGTAGTTTTCCTCTTTTGTTAATAACTCGCTTGAATTAACATTTCTCAGTGCGTTTGTTGTTGCTAATAATAGCCTATACAACCTGTAACAGTACTGTGTTAGACAATTATTTTCAGAAAATTCGACAGTGAGCAATGCACAAGTGCCTATCCAGCTTTCCATGCTCGGTAATGGCGGCCTGTTTGTATGAATAAATGTATCCTTCACTGTGCTTGTTGACACTATCTGGATGTTCGAATTTTAACCCCTTCCCCTTCCCTCTCCCAGGAACAGAAGAAAATGGAACAACATACGCCCTCCAGTTAGTGTCAAAAAGCACAGTGAAGGATACATTTATTCATACAAACAGGCCACCATTACCGAGCATGGAAAGCTGGATACGCGATGATCGATTCTCTTCGTCAATTTCCTCTTTTGTTAATAACTCGCTAGATTTAACGTTTCTCCACAGACAAACAGACGTAACTCTTCATTGTTTATCTTCGTTCACGAATTTAACGGTTGATTTGAATATTATAAGTTCCGCGAACTACTCGCCGCAGCACTGGCATCGGATCACTTTGACGTTTCTATACATTCTATAGAACTTTTATGCAATATTGTTTGCGAGTTAGCGAACAAGCCTGTTTTCCGCGAGAAGCCTGAAAGATGTCGCTACTGAGGTCCTATGTTTTGAGATACTATGTTTTCAAGAAAAACTTTTTCAAAGAGTTACGTCTGTTTGTCTGTGGTTTCTCGGTGCGTTTGCTGTTGCTTTTGATAGCCAATACAACCTGTTAGTACTCTGCATTGAACAAATTCTAGAAGATTGTTTCTCTTAGCTGTAGCAATGCAAAGAGAAAATCGATGAAGAGAATCGATCATCGCGTATTCGCCCTTATGCATGCTCACTGTCGAATTGCTTCCCTTAACTGTAGCAACATAAAGAGAAAATCGGTGAAGAGAATCGATCATCGCAGTTAGGCCCTTATGCATGCTCACCGTTGAACTCAAATTCGCAAAAATGTTACACACTATTTAAAAACTACCCAAATTTGGGTAGAGTCCACCCAGATCGCTTGAAACTGAACCTACCCAAAAATGGGTAAACTATGTTGGGAGTGACTAAAGAGCCTGGATTTATAAAGAGACGAAAAAATTGGAACAATCGATTGTCTGTCAAAGTCATAGGAAAAGTCATTCCAATCGAGCAGAAGACCTGTCAAATGGATAAGATGTCACCTCTTTATAAATTCAGGCTCTTTAGGAGTGACAAGTCATTTGAGTTTAGTTTAGAAAGAGTTTAAGAAAATTTACGAAAATTTTACTCAGTCTAGGAGTAGCACCAATAGACTGAGTGAATCCAATCTTAACTTTTCTCATATTCGGGATATTTTTCTGGACAAACCTGGAAAACATGAGGCAACATGAGTTTCTGCACTTCGACAGTGAGCATGCATAAGGGCGTAAACGCGATGATCTATTCTCTTCGTCGATTTTCTCTTTTGTTAATAACTCACTAGAATTAACGTTTCTCGGTGCGTTTGCTGTTGCTTTTGATAGCCGATACAACCTGTTAAAACTCTGCATTGAACAAATTCTTGAAAATTGTTCCGCTTAGCTGTAGCAATGCAAAGAGAAAATCGATGAAGAGAATCGATCATCGCGTATACGCCCTTATGCATGCTCACTAGAGTGATGCAAAATTTGAAATTTTCGCTCCACAATACTTAAACGATTCCAAATCGGATCCTGACTAACCTCTCAAAATTTGAACCCATTTGGTGAGAAACTGAAATGGCACAAACCATTTGAAGTTTGTATGGGAATTACTATGGTAAAACCAAGATTTTTGTTCATGTCAATCTAATAATTCACCATATCGGTCTGCTTCAAAAGCCTTCAATTTTACTTGTAGGAAATTTTCCCAGCTACAACTTTGCTAAAGACCACTTTTTGATTAAATGCAAGGATCGAAAGTTATTAATGGTTCAATGCACTGATGTCTTATGATCATGCTCAATCAACTGCTCAGCAGGCAACATTGGTGTTTCTGGGGCGTTGAATAGGACACAAAAATCATGGCTACTATGTCACACTGAAAAATACAGTGTTGCCTACAAAGCAGCTGCTTGATCATGTCATAAGTTTACCAATCTCTTAAATAATTAATAACTATTTCCTGTCTCGTTTAACATACACACAAAAAATAAACGTTAATAGAATTAAAAAAACCGTTGGTAGAATTAAAAGTTTGCATTGGTTCTTTTTGGTAGAAAGTCAGAAACTTTCAATTGCAAAAGACATGAACAGTTAAAATAAAAATGCTGACTCCTTTGATTTTAAAAGTCACAACTTTTATGATTAAATTTTATAAATGTCAAATTAAAAGTTTCTACTTTTGAAATGAAATTGTAGAACTGTCAAATTAAGAGTAGGTTAGGTCAAAATAAATTTTATCTTATTTCAAAATGAGAGCGTAGTTAATCAAATAAAATTTTATTTCTTTTTAAACATAAAGTTCATTGTTTTGATTTTTACGTATATATATATTTTAAATGTAAAACTAACAAAAAAAATTAAAAATATTGAATTGTGGAATTGTCCGCCATCCTCGTCAGCATCTGTTGAGCCGTCCATGCAATCCACTCCCCTGCTTCAACCTTAAACTGTGGTGCTATCGTTTCAGCCATCTGGCTCAGAGTCCGGTGTGACCCAATCCGGAACGATGATCTTACTTTTGACTGATGCTGAAATTTCCGAAAAGAAAGCGATTCTATTATCGTAAAAAACTCTCTAGTCTGAACAAGGCATTATCGTAGATAAACTTACCATATTGATCCTGTGGTATCGCCGTATTTTATTTATATTTTCAGCCAGTCTAGCTCACGGATGATCCGGTGAATGCAGCAGGGGTTTGTTTTGAAAACTGGTCGAATAGAAATTAATAAAGCAAAATTTTCAATTCTCATTTTGCGCGTTTTTATTTTTATTTACTCACGTTATTCAAAAACTAACCAGAAATGGGTAGAAACCTACCCCCGAAGAAGTTGTTTTGACAGTAAAACAATTTTTGATTTGAAAATCTGCACTTTTAAAACTACAAGTTAAAATCAAAACATCTACTTTTGGATTGAAAATAACCTTGTTGTTTCAAATATTTTCATAGTTCAATTAACAAATTTTGGGGTACTTTTAAATTGAAAGGTTAATATTTTTACCGATACAATTTTCGTTTTTTGTGTGTAGAAACGATCTTCAGCAAAGTTGTAGCTGAGAAAATTTTCTAAAGGAATAGCTCTCGAACTGTTTCGCAGCTCAGTATGGAAAAAGACTAGAAGGCAAGGAACAAAAAGTTGAGATTTCCCATAGTAATTTACATGTAAACTTCAAATGGTTTGTGCGAAGTCTGTTTCTAACCAAATGAGTTGTAACTTTTGGAGGCTAATCACGACCCGATTTGAAACCATTTAAGCACTGTGGAGTGAAAAAGTCAAATTTTGCATCAGTCTAATGCTCACTGTCGACTTTGTGATTAATGAGTAATCTAAACTCAAATTTGGGTCGTTCCCATTCGCTGTGTACGTCACAGACCGGTCAAAACTAAAGCCCTACAGTAAAAGTATGGACGACTGTCACCACAAAACTGAAAAATGCTGTTCCAATCGAGCAAAGCGGTGCATTTTGACGGTTCGATTGGAACAACTTTCATACTTTTACTGTAGGGCTTTAGTCAAAACTGAACCTACCCAAAAAAATTGGTTTAACTATGTTGGGTAGGGAGTTACAAGATGACAAATAAACAACATCCATCGGATTCATATCGATGTTGTCCATTTGTCAATTTGTCACTCCCAACATAGTACCATAGAGGTAACTCTAAGACAAGAAGGTCCCGAAATAACGTGCTCAACTTTTTGGCTCAGCTCTGGTACTATCTTCGGTCCCAAGCTAATCGATTCACCCCTCGAAACATAGGAAAAACCAATAACCCTTCATTTTATCTGTCAAACTTTCATAGTGAATCAAAACAAACATTGCGTAGTACTAGAATTTCGACTAGAATAGGGTATGTTAATCGCTTGCTTGGGACCAATAGGCTACTAAAGTGGTGAGCCAATTTAAAATCGTTAGTTTCGTATTGATTGTTGATAGTACTTCACCCATTTTTGAATAGGTTCAGTTTAGATCTTTAGATCGATCCGGGTGGACTCTACCCAAATTTGGGTAGTTTTAAAATAGCGTGCAAAAAAACACCAATAATCGATGATTCTTGTGTCATTCTGCAAAAAATCATCAGCGGCGAAGCAACAATCATCATCAGTCCGTCAGCGCACATAACTGTCATTCCGCCATTATCAAAAGTCGAAATTGCACATATACTGGGACTGACTGCGCTCGCCCGCTCGCTGGATCCTCCACACTCTGTTCCATTTAGTTTGCATCGCCCCGCACCATTTCTTGCGAAAAAAAATAGGCCTTATTTGCTTCGTTTGTCCCGCAACGAAACGAGCAAACCAGATAGTGCAGTTTTTTCCTAAGTTGTTAAAAGTTTAGGCGTCTTATTCGGAGATACGCTCGGCGGAATGTCCCTGGTGGAAGGCGAGGTAAAACTATCGCATCGTACGAGAAAACGCGTCCGGGAGGTCAAACGGAAGGCTCGACCAGGTATGATGCGGGTCAATCGGTGCCATTAGTCATAACCTCCTCTAATCGTGGGGGTGGGTGGCCTTCGCAAATTAGTGAGTAAATGTAACTCGTTGAATGTCTCTTGCAGAACTCGCCGACAAGACCGCTTGGGTACAGCTGGAGTACCACAGGAAGTTCGACAAGTTCCGGGAGTTTGAGGACAACGTCGAGCGGATTAACGTCAATGATGTCTCGCCGCAGGAGTTTATCGATAGGTACGAGGCCATCTACAAGCCGGTGGTCATCGAGGGGATACAGGAAGGCTGGAAGGCGGAGTACAAGTGGACCCTGGAGCGGTTGGTCAAGAAGTATCGTAATCAGAAGTTCAAGTGCGGCGAAGACAACGATGGCTACAGCGTCAAGATGAAGATGAAGTACTACATCGAGTACATGCAGAGCACGACAGACGATAGCCCGTTGTATATATTCGATAGTAGCTTTGGGGAGGTAGGGGAATAGGTTTCAAGCGACCAGCACAGATTCTGAGAGTGTTGTTTGAATTTCAGCATCATCGTCGGAAAAAGCTCCTGGAGGACTACGATATCCCGTTATACTTCCGGGATGATCTGTTCCAATATGCAGGCGAGGAGCGACGACCACCGTATCGGTGGTTCGTGATGGGACCGGGCCGCTCCGGGACGGGAATTCATATCGATCCGCTGGGCACCAGCGCTTGGAATGCTCTGGTGAGCGGTCACAAACGGTGGTGTCTGTTCCCTACCCACACGCCAAAGGAACTGCTCAAGGTTACCGGAGCCATCGGGGGCAAACAGAGGGACGAAGCAATCACGTGGTTCAACCTGATCTACCCGAAGACGAAGCAACTGGACTGGCCGAGCGACTGTAAACCGGTAAGTACTGGTTGTTTGACTGTTAGAATCTGGAAAATTCAAACCATGGATCGCATTCCAGTTGGAAATCCTGCAAAAACCGGGCGAAACTGTGTTCGTCCCGGGTGGCTGGTGGCACGTGGTTCTCAATATGGACGATACGGTTGCAGTGACTCAGAACTTTTGCAGCAAAACCAACTTTCCCGTCGTGTGGCATAAGACTGTCCGCGGGCGGCCGAAACTCTCCAAAAAATGGCTGAAGGTGCTTCAGGTAAGCGCCCTAGCTCCTATTTAGCTCCAACGCAAATTATTGACGAAATATTCCTACAGGAAGTGGACCCGGATCTGGCGAAGGTCGCAGGGAAAATCGACGTTGGACAAAGCACCGGCGTGGCGTCGGATAGCTCGAGCAACTCCAGCTCATCGTCTTCCAGCTCGAGCAGCGACGAAAGCGACAGCAGCAACACCGACAGCGGCCAGGAATCGCTGTCTGCGCACAAGACCAAGAAGCGCCGGAAAACCGGCGGAATGATGGCTTGATTAATACTGTAAGTCGGGAGGAAGTTCTTTCATTTGATATGCTTTTCACTATATCAGGATCATTTTTTTTTTTTGTCGAATAACGTAACCGACGGTGAATTTGAATTTTTGTGAAAGCATAAGCAAACCTTTGAACGGCTATTTCTCGCAAGCAAGGAAACGGCCAAGTATTACACACATCCCTGAACAGAAAACAACTGAAATCAATAGGTTTACTAATTTATATTGGCTTAGACAACAATAGTAGACAAATATGAATTGATAACTAATAACTTGTAGTTTAGTAAAACAAAGAAGCAAGAAGCAAAGCAAAAGTGCGTAGCCAAATTAGGATATGATAGGCACCAACCAATTGGTATCTCTGAGATTAAAAGCCAGAACTATTGAACTGACAAATACACATGAACTGGAACGAGGATCGGAACCGCAATCGCAATCGGCACAATTAACTACTGACCACTATCATTATTAGCTAAAAATAACAAAAGCATCTCATTATCTACTAGTGGCAGCTGAGTCACAATACTGGCGAGCGAAAATCCAAAAAAAAAATCATCATCAAACACTGAAACTCAAAATTCGGTATTTGTGCCTTGAGAGAATATGGAAGATAGGATCACAATCACATCAATCAGAAAAAAGTTGGATAGGAAGCAAAGTTAAAGGAGGTTAGAATTTATTGAATACAAAAGAAAGGGTAGTGACGACAATTACTACTAACAGCGAACATTATATTTTGGAAGATATCACGGTCCAGGAAGGGGTTTTCCCACGGTGAAGATTTCCATATAAGTAGTAGAGAATTCCAACGAAGTCAATATTGTCGCACGGCTTGGCGATTCCCCTCACAATCCTCGAAGTTTGTTGCGCCAACAAATTCGATACATGGCTTGTCTCTAGTTTCTAAGTCTAATCACCTAGCTCGGGGCGCTCCTCTGCGTCTTTAGTCGGCCGGATTCGACGTAAACACCATTTTAAAGGGATTGCTGTCCGGCATTCTTACCACGTGTGACTACTAGAGCCAGCTAGTAGTTCATTCTTCTCCTTCATACGCCGTTTTCATATACCCCACCAAAGATGATCATAAGCACACGTCGTTCGAAAACTCCCAGTGCTTGCAGGTCCTCCTCGAGCATTGTCCACGTATCGTGCCTTTAGAGAACCACCCTTCTTATCAGCGTCTTGTACATGGTACACTTAGTACTGGGGTGGAGTTTACCAGGCCTCAAGGTCTAGTGGAGTCTGTAGTAAGCACGACTTCAGGCAATAATGCTTCTCGGATTTTCTCTGCCGCTGTTGCAGGGTATCGACTCAATGTATAAGAACAAATCCCTTCATTTTCCAGTAAAACAGAAATATTCCAGATATGCAAAACTATCTACAATGCCATGGTGACCAGCAAATGCCGATTATCAAATTTCCATTTTATTCCCTGAATTTAATTTCAAATGTGTTGTTTAGGGGTATTGAAGTAAATACATAGGTATTCGTTATCTGCATTAAAAATGGAACCGAAATCCAAAATTTCATCAATTTTTGTACACTGGAATTATTTTAAATAAATACGATTACATTAGCAAACATCGCCATCTTAGCACCCTTGGTGGGACTTTGTATGGGAGCGAGCTGTCAACGAATAGATATAGCAACCGTTTTACTGTAGGGCTTTAGTGAACACTCGTGTTTATTTCAGTTACCGTGGGGACGTAATTTGTGATTAGCTCCGGTCCCTTTCAAATTGTATCATTATTCATGTACGGTCCTTATATTTGAAATGACGTTTCACATTCATCTAGTGATGGCCAATTTTCATTCGAATAATCGATTAACGAACCGAAAAGTAAACTATTTATAATCGGTTAGATCATGCCGATATAAGCATTAACATCTCCACAGGATCATCACCGATCGCTTCAAACATGTGCTGCACTCTCATTGGTATAAAAATGGCAGCACAGCGAACAAAAAATAATCGATTAGTTGTTAATCGAGTAATTAAAAAATGGGACATCTCTGACTTTGGTGTGATTGTTTTGATAAAAATGAGCGCAAAATTTCATCTCTTCCGAGGGGGCAGCACAACCACAAAATTACCTTGAATACGGGGGGTTCTCATTGGATGAAAGGGACCGTGAAAGAAGACACTAAAATAGAAAGTTTTTCTTCCGACAGTTTCATCTTAGTATTCATCTTTGGATATAGTGTCAAGGAACAAAAATTTAAATCTTGATTTAAAAACCGAGATGAATGTCTACGGGATCGATAAAAATATCGTTGTGCTCAGAAAACGAAGCTCTATCAGATGATATATAAAAATCGATATATTTTCCAAAGTGGAACAATCCATTTAAGCATAATACCACAGAGAAATAATACCGAATATAGGCCTGTACAGAGATCGAAGCGAAGCGAATTTGGCAAATTTTTCACTTCGCTTTGAACTGTAAAAAGATACGATCCAGCGAAATCTAATTTTGTGGATCGTATTTTTCGCTTACGTTTATATTTTTTTCGCGCATGCAGCGCTAGCGAAAAGTTGAAAGAGCGTATCTGTCAGATTTTCACTTCACCGGAGGTGTAAACTGATCGATTTCGTTTCACATGAAAACTGTAAACTGCGAAAAATTGAAACTGGAAAATGTTCCACAAACATTTTTTCACAACCTTTTTCGCTAGTGAAATTTCATGATTTTTCGCGTGATTTCATTTTCGTTTCGCTTCGATCTGTATACCTACTAGGCTTATGATTGTGTCAAAGAGGTCGGTAGCACAGAACAGAAGGGGAAGTGCAAACAAATCGGTGAATCAAAAAGTGGTTCGTTTTTCTGCTCAACAAGCGATGTGTTGTGGTAGCGTTCCACACGTTCTTTCTATTTGCAATCATAGCATGCTGCATATCTTAACTGCAGGCAGAAGGCACTTTCTGATCCGAAGTTCCACTCCTGTGTCGGTAGGTAAATGCACACGAGTCAGGGGGTAAGTCACTCTGCCACCTTGTGCTAAACACATCAAAAACATTCTTCAATCACCATGAGAACAATTTTTCAATCTTTTTTGGCAGCACTGCCTAGAGCCAAGAATGTTTACATTCGTGTGATGCTCTTTTTTTTGTTTTTGTTGCATTTTTCATTTTTCTTTTCTTTCACCCTCCAGCAATCGGTAGGATTCCACAGAAATCTGATCGGGACTCCCACAATTTGGGGATAATGATTCAACGTCAAGCTCAACATTATAAAAACAGACCATTTCATCCTCTAATAAGCTAGATTATACATAACTATATGAAGAAATGAGCGGATAATAATCATCCAGTCAATGATTGACCGATGACTGAAGAAAAATATTTCTAATTTGGTAGTCATTCCATATACGCACTACCAAATAAGAGAGATCCGGCCTACAGCCGGCGGTTAATTCTTGCAGGACCAGTCTAGGGGGCACGATAATGAACACGAAACGAAAATCAATTATTTTATTCATGTGTTTCACTTATGCATTTTTGCCAAAACATCAGCCTTATTCATTCCATAAGACAAACCACATAGGTCATATAAGAATGCATAAAGCGTATGTGTGACCGCTTATACATTTCATTTGGCACATGATCTTCATTAACTTTTTGCAAGGCGTCTGCTTATTAGTTGACTTATACATTTTATGAATAATCAACTATCCGTGAAGGTTGATCGAATGGTTGCTGAGCAGATGTGGGCTATTTCATCGGATTATTCAGAATATGCTTTGTTCTTCCCGTTAAGCCACTCAACAAGTTCATACCATGGCTATGAAGACAGTTACGAAGAAAAAGCTGGTTATGTATATTTTGTGTGTTTGCCAGAACTCGTGCCAGAACTAGCGCTACTTGGAAAAAATCCATTCCCGTATTCGTGAACTACTATGAAATATGCACCGGTTCCCGTTCACTAGACATCAAACGACCAAATGCGTGCTTTGTGGGTAGCATAGTTGGAATCCTCCCGATCTCCATGCTACTAGTCATATTCGCATCGATCCTTGCTCGATGTATTCTCACGAGAAGGTCACCACTCGTTCCGACTCATTCCGCCGGTAATGGGTTGTCGGCTGGGGGTCCCTTAGCTCAGTCGGTAAAGGCGCAGCTACAAAGCAAGACCATGCTGGAGGTGGCTGGGTTCAATTCCCGGTCCGGTCTAGAAATTTTTTGGGTTGGAAAATTTCTCGACTTCCCTGGGCATAGAGTATGATTGTACTTGCCACACAATTATACTAATTCAAAAATGGTACAGGCATCGAAAGCTCTCAATTAATAACTGTGGAAGTGCATCTAGAACACTAAGTTGAGAGCACGCAATAAGCTAATATGCGATATGCAATAAGCTTGAAATGCGAAGAAGAAGAAAAAAGAAGAAGGGTTGTCGGCTGTAATACCATATCATATCCAAGTCCACAGGAGACATACACTCAAAAAATTCCACACGCCATCATCATGTGTCTCACACTTAATTTTGCGCTTATTGTGAAACACATCCATTTCATGTGTGAATTTTATGCTATGAACCATACCTGAACACTATGGATTTGAATTGTGACACACTTGGATTCTATGTGTCTCATATGGTGATATCAATAGCTTTGCACACCATAGTTCAATATTCTACAATATTCTACTTTATCGACTTCTACTTTACCGACTCTAAAAATTGAAACGACAAATATATAATCAAAACTGTCCGAGACCAGAGCTTTCACATATCTTTTTAATGGGTCTGATTTGGGATTCGATCATGGACTGTTACGGTGTGCTGCTGCCGGAGTCTTCGTTCTATCTCACTGTGCCAGGGTTGTTCTCATATATGAGGCGGGTTAATAGGATAAAGTCACAACTCTTGTTTTCGATGTTTACCTTTCTGAGCAAGCAATTCACATAGTATTGAAATGCAAAACACTTTAAATCCATCTGTTTTGAACATTAGCGTGATTCAATGTGCAATACACTTGAATAGAAAGTGAAACATTTTCAACATTTCAAAGTTTGAAACACTCTAAATTAACGTGTATAACACATCGAACCAAGGTGAAATACACTTAAAGTAAATGTGATTCTGCATTTAAAAAATCAAGTGTTTAAACACTTCGATCAAACGTGTGAAATTTTTTGAGTGTACTTCAAGTCCCCGCGTACATCGTACGGGTTAGGCAAAAATGTGCGTCTATCTTGAAAAACTGTCGCATTAATGGCCCTTCGCTCATTATCAACTTCTATTCAATTTTCATGCTGCCGTACTCTAACGGAACTATCCACCTACCCTCTTCTAAAGATCATTCTCTAGCTAATAAATCATCACACTTACCCCGTTCTCATTACGCTCTATATCACGTGATATAGCGAGATGATATCGATATCAGAAAGTGTTCACACTACGTTGAGATGATACAGGTTGACGTTTATTGACAATCAGAAATCAAAACAAAATTTGACGTATCTTGTGCTGTTCTTTATCAAAGATTTCAATTATTTTGATGCTTTCAGTGCCTCGCACAGTATCAACGGATTTAAAAAAATGGAGAGTAGCAAGCGCAATCTGAAAACCATTTTGGTTCATCATATACGACGACTTAATTCACTTCGCGAATTGCTTCGTATGGTTTCTATGCGAGAGGCATTGTTTAAGCGGATGCGGAAGCAGCATATTCGTCGAGTACTGGAACTGCAAAGCAAAACACTTGCATTATCGGAGCAGCT